TATGAATGGCTATAATTAGATGCGATTTTTGTCCTACTTTTGATATAAATTGTATATTTACTGTGCCCCACTCATATCTGCTCTCTTTGGTTTGTGTGTCCTAGTTAAACTCCAGTGCCTTAAAATTTTGTATTTAATTCAATGACCTACTGATTTCTTTGAGACAGACAGTCCATGCACAAAGGTGTTGAGAATGTCTCTTATGTGTTCAGTAGCCTATACAGTGTAGGGGTAAAAAGAGCCATAAATAGGAATTGGTCTTTATTCTTAGTTTTCAACGTGGTTATATGTTGGAATTCATTGCATTGATACTGCCAATACTGCTTTTTCTTCATGACTGTTTGAGCCATGAAAGCATGCTGTTGTGGAAAGAGACCAATGGATAACGATCACAATAAACTATTTTATTTATGTCCTTATCTGTAGGATCAGAAGAGGTTTTGTCCTGGAGACAATATGCATAACTTCTAGGTAAATAATCTCTTTTCCATGTATAGTTTTACGCTTCACTAGTTACTCACCTGCTACTTAGCTGTAGAACACTCTTTGTTCAAAAAGAATCAGAGAAAGCTGCGGACTGTTGTGTGACTGGACCCAGAAAAAGAGTCTGCAGCTGCAGATGGGACAGCTCTTTAGTATGGAGGCTAAGAATAAAGATTTGGGCCAGGCTTGTCTTGAGTATTTGGCTGACTAAAACAGCCAAACTAAACACTTATGTCTTAGTTCCTACACATACAGAGAGGTAGTTCTTTTGGATGTGTGTGTAATTTGGAAACGTAAAGATAACAGTTGAAAATTTATCCTAGCCATCAAAATAGTAAGTCCAAGCATTATAAGAAAACAAATATACTTCAAAGTATTTCATTCAATTTATCTATGAAAGTAATCAGTGAGCTACTGAAGTACCTGTGCTAAATGATTTGTTTATTTACAAGAAGAAAGCTGTACTCCTATGGTTTTGAATAGTAAAGTAACTATTGAAGCCAGGGTACAATGGATGCTATCAGAAAAGCCCCATATGGGTGCACTTTAGATCTTTTGAATACCACAAAAGTTTAGTGACCTAGAAATGAATCAATAAAAAGCCATCCTCTCTCTGACAAATTGAAGAACTGAGGGATTCTTACAGATGCCTTGACTTTAACAATTCAGGATACACTGTTTGTAAAGGCTTTCTGAGACACATTTAATCCTTAGAGTACTGTAGCAGACTATGAGGTGTTTTATATTTAGATCACTCTCCAATAGTTCATTTCTTATTTTTACTGTAAGTTTACTGTTAAGAAAATCAATGTAAGGAGATCAAAGGAAAGGCAAATGCTAAAATGATGCGTCCTTACACTGAATGTAAATGTTTTTAATTTGCCAAATTTCTTATTGTTTTGCAATATATGTTTTGGAAGGGTATGGCAGTGTAAGAACCTCTCTAGTCTTGTTATATTACAAATAATTCTATCACTCAAAAAATGAACTATAATCTTGGGTAGGTCAGTAAAAGGGTTTATGTCCCTGTTACCCGTTGCTTCACTTCTATAGTTTGTTTTAACATTTCAGCATTTCAAATAAAATCTGAGTAAAAATTCTACTTAACTGCTACAGCCGTATTTCCTCTCTGTTTAATTAAATAATCATCAACACACAGTATGATGTCTTTTCTCCATAGTTTATGGAGTTTATGTGTTATGTTTGGCACAAAATTGAGCATGTTGTTTACTTTCTAAGGAATAATGAATATCAAAAATGATGATCCAGAAAGACACTCTGTACAGTTGCACACACATACACAAACCATAAAATACTTCGACTAAATGAAGTATTGGCTTATACTCCATTAAATGTGAATTAAGTCCCGTCCATATGCAATACAACTCAGTGTTTCTGTGACTCAAATTGTGAAGCAGGTGAACTTTAACCTGTAGATAAAAATTAAGAAATCAAGATTTTTGTTTCACTAAGGATGATTTAAATGTTACAGTTGACAGTCCTTCTAGATCACCTGACTATTATTCCTTTTCCTCTTTTGTTCAAAGGGAGGGAGGTCTAACAAAATGTCTCCCCACTGACATCTACTGCAGTGATGTGATTATATGCGAGGCTTGGAGGCTTCTTTCAGGTAGCTCAGACAACTAAAAAAAAAATTAGTAAGTAGATATCATGCTGTCACTTTGATTTCTAGAGAGCTTTGGCTCCTAATTTGAGAGCTTCATAGATGGTGATTAGCACATGGAAGTCAATATATTGTGAATAATATATTACCAATTATATTGCAGTAAGCAACCAAAGCATAAATAACTAGAGAGATGTTTAGGGAGCAGGAGCTGGACTCCAGTTATAAGAGAGAATTACTCTGCATATGGGTTTTATTTTACCTGTTGTTGAAGCAGTTTAAGATCTAAGCAGGCTCCAAAGACTCTATTTGCAAAATAAGACTGTAATACTTCTTCAAAACTTTAGATAGTGTCAGTACTACTTTTTGCTTCTGTAACTGTAGTCCTTCAGTTTTATATGAATTGAGTCTTGTCTCCATCCTAGTCTCATACATACATGGGTCTAAATCCTCAGTCTCAGCACAATGTATGGAGCAGATTTACTAGGCAAGCAGTTCCTCAGTAACATTATTAATGGCTTTTTTAAGCATGCGAGAGTAAACTATATAAAATATTTAATTAAGAGCTCCAAACTTTCAAGGAAATTGCAGTTTGTAATTCTGTAATGTGTTTGGAAGTCAGTCCTTTTCTGAAATTTTAATAAGGAACTCAGCACTGTCAACAGTAAGCTTGTGTCAGTACTGTACTTTTCACGATACTGATCTGTCCGGATTTTTCACTAGACTGTTATTTTTAAAAAAGGTAAATGTGTTATTGGAAGTACATTAGAAGGCTAATATGGCCTACTAAGCAGGTTAACAGTATCAAAAGTCAATTATATTAATACAATCTGAGTTCTTAAACCCCTCAGACTCTACAATAAACTGGATATATCAATGGTTAGTACTGGTAGCAATAGTGTTGTAATTATTGTATTCCCTTTGGCTTATTTGGATGCCCAGTTTTATGTAATCTCCTGTCTTAGTGACTGTGTTACGAAACTTTTTTCTCTGTCTTGAAATGTTGCCTTAAAGTCAGCACTTGGTTTTCATGAAAGGGAAACTTTAAAATAAATATTTTTCTTTAACAGCAAAGTAGGTAGTCTTGATGCTATATCTTTAGGAATTATTCTGAAGAAGAAAGAAATTAAATAAATGTTCTAAATTTTAAGTTCATACTTTTTATTTTTTTAAAAAAGTATCCCAAATACAAAATGAATTTAGTAAAATGAAATTAAAAAAGCAGGAAATAAATTCTGTTTTGCTCAATATCCCATGGGGGATGGGGAATATCTCTGGGAAAACCGTTCCTTCTACAGTGAATTTGAAAACTTGTGGTTTAAATTTCTTTCTTTTGTGAATCTAAGCACTGAAAGTATCAGTACTTCTGCATGATATTAGGAGTGTAGAAGAGCAACACTATTTTTTGTGATTTGTTTCTTAAGTTTCCCTATTGTTATTAATATTCTTTCTCCTTTTTGGATATACATCTCTCTTCTTTCTTTCCTCCCGCTCCATTGGTTCTTTTTGACTCTTAAGCTCCAAAACATACTATTGTGGTACATATCGAAGTTATATTCTTTTTGTTTTCCTTCTTTAGTATTTTTTACAACTTAGATATGAATGACAACTTTCTTATTTTCAGCCTTTGTTACTAGTTTTGTGGTTTTTCTTTTAATATTTTCGTATGTGATTTATAATAGGGAGGAAGTTGTTTCCAAGTCATACAAAGAATGGATTAAGAGTCTTGTTAGTTGTGTATGAAGAAAACCTATATCTCTGTATTTTTCTGCCACAAGATCCTTGTATATTATCTTCTAGCAGCCAGATTAATAGATGAAAAAGTGAAACCTTACATTGTTGCATTAACTTTTCTCCCAAACAAAATATTTCAGATAACTTTCTAAGTTAATGTCAGAAATGTGTGTTCCAAAGGGCATGATCTAAAATTTTACTGGACAATTTTTCAGGTAGTTATATTGGTAGGATTTTTTTTTTTTTTGCTAGCATTAACATTGCTATTGTTTATATTTACTAAAAAAAAATCAGAAATAGTTCGAGTTTCATTTGTTATTTATTCATTCAGTTCTTCCATAGTTTTGAGTTATTATAGGTTTTAACTGTATGAAGCTCATGAAGACACTCTAATTCTGGTAATTTCTGATACTTCACTTGCAACAAAGAAGCTGAAGGAAATATTAGCCTTTCTGAAGTTAGTGGGAGTTTGTATTTCTATTTCAGTAGGCTAGTATTCACAGTTTCTCTTAACAAGGATTGTCTCACTTCTTAAACTGTAAGTTCATGTGTCTTTTGAATGTGTTTGTGATTTTGCTCTGGTTAGCTTTCAAAAATTGTCTATTTTTTCAATATATCCATTTGTTTTGCTATTTTGTAGTTCTCACAGTTTTGAAAGGAATGCAGATATAACAATGTCTCTGGAAGAAATTATACCTTTATATAGCTTTTGCATGCTAAATATTATTAAATTTTGAAAAACATCAATTCATAGATATTTTAAGTAAGTTGATTAATATTTTAAGCATGAAGAATGTAAATATTAACACAGTTCTCCTAAATGAACAAAACCCCTTTCCATTAAAGCATGATTTTGGTAATCTTAGTTGATACTTGTGGGAAACCTTGTTAGGAAGATAGCACTGTCGCTGTATCCGATCCATATCTTAGAATCAAATACATGATTGAGAACTATTTCTTGGGCTTGAAAAATTAGGAATACAATATTATCAAGCATTATTTTTAAAGCTTTGGAATCGTATTTTACCTATTATCTCTGTTGTACATTATATAGTCTAGGAGGTAGACCAAGAGAGGGCTTTGATAATGTTTTGAAAATACAAGGGGGTGGTTTATCTAACAAAAAAGAAAAAATTTCAACCATTTTTTGTTTTCACAGAGGAAGATAAATACGGTCTTTACTCCAATTTGTTGTACAAGTATTTTCTTGCAGAGGGAATTGTCTGTGGACATGACTTGTTTGTTGCCTCTGCTAAAGAGCATCCTGACAGCATCTTAAAGGTAAATAACACTCATAGATTTTGACAAGTAAAGTTGTAATCTCTGTAATATATACATTTTAAAGTGTGTATATTAAGAAATTAATTAATCTTGGTGATTCATAAGAATGTATTGGGAAGTGCAGGAGTATTTACACTAGCCAGATTTGGGAATTAAATTTAGCTCACTAGCCTCTGTCTATGGACAATGCAGTAAGATCTCTCAAGACCAAATCAGGCTAGGAGTCTGCTTATTCTTTGTTTTGATTTTGGATGAAAACCAGACAGACTAGCTGGCTTAGTTGAATGGTTTGAGTAAACCCAACTGTTTACAGTTTCTACCTGCCTATCAGAAAGAGTAATTAAGCTGCTTCCAATGTGTTGTGGTGGAAACAGCATACAATTTGTGTAGATATTTATTGTAGTTTCTTATAGAAAACAAGAATATCATTTAACTTCTTTACAACTTCCTTTACACATACTTTTCATTCTGTCTTTTTTTTCTACTGGGAAACGTGGTCAGCTTTGGATCAGGTCATATAGAAAGGTTCCTTTCAGACTTCAGTGAGCTCCTGATGAAACACTGATAGTTTCCATTGTAAGGAAATGATATAAGGGAAAAAGCCTGATCAACACTGCAAAAAATTCTGAAGTGTGAGGATAATCTTACAAAATTTCGTTAAATATTTTAAGTCTTTCTAAGGCTGTTTTTTTCTAATATCAAAGGTAACGTATAATTTACTGATTACTTCTGCATCAAGTGAAGTCTGGCTATTTCCTTAAGAGTCTTCAGAGCCTATTTCTGGACAAAATGATTACTTTTCTTTTTTCCTATCTAGTGATGGTAGATTCTATGCCTTATCTATTCAATATTATCTTCAGTATTCAGGAAAAAGTATATTCTTAATGAAAATATATGGTTGTGGTTATGAAAAATCTAACAATTTCTTTTATGATCTTGAACCTGAAGAGTGTTCATTTAGGGCTGAAATTTTTATCATTTGTTCTTGTGGTTTACAATATAGCCTAATCAAATATGTTAGAATTTGATTGTGAAGTATGAATTACATAAGAACGTGCTGTATTTTTTAAGAATAGTTGTTTTTAAATAACTGATAATCAAGTCATTGACTCTCTGACTGTATAATACATGATCATTGTGGTTGTTTTTATCATCAAAATTAAATTATTCAAATAAATATTTTTATTGCATTGCATTAAAATTTCTTAAAATTGAGTAGCTAACATACATTGTATTCTTTTTCATTCACTTTTGAATCAGTTGTTCGTAGCATGTCATGTTTTTCCTAGCTCCTCTTTATGCTTTTGCAAGTTAATCAACAGGCACTGGTACATACATCTATCCTTCTTGTACCAGTTTGAGTATGTGGTCAGTTAGTTCAGTGTGACTTACTGAGGTCTGTTGTCTGATTTGGAATAAGTTTTCCTTCTTACTTTTCAAGGGTAGACACCAGGAAATAATACTGCACTCCTCTGTTGTAACTCCGTAGTTACTATAAGAGATTAGAAATGGATGGACAATATTACTACAGGAAAGTTGAGGAAAACATAATTATGTCTTGTTTTCTTCCTCTGTGTGTTTATATAGCCAACAGTACTCTTGTCTATGCTTTGCTACTCTTACCTTGACTATTCAACACTTCCTTTGCTTAACAGACAAGGCACAGTAAAGTCGATTGGTCTGATATGTATTGCTGTCTTGAAATTGTTTTATTGAAGTAAGCCTGTAACATGCTAGACAGCAATCTAGAAAATTACATACTTTCACACTTGGAAAGCTCAGGCACTTCTTGAAATGCCAATATGTGTTACCTAAAATACATTATTGCCTCACCTGGAAAAAGTCAATCTAAGACTGGTGTTGGCAACAGTTAGTTTCTCCAAATCACAGAGGTAGAGGGATTTTCCCTATGACCGTCTCACTTGACTTTCTTTTAAAAGAGAGGACTTTCAGGTGGTTCAGCAAATCCTCTCCTGTCATAAAAATGAGCTGTTTGGGATTTGGATGTCTCTACCAAGTCAGGATTTTAATGTAACATATCTGACTGTTGAATAACATTGCATTTTATTTAATGACATCAGTAATTAATTTATTTTCAGTAACTGATCAGACTGTATTCTTTACTGGAAAGGCAATATAAATTTGGTACATATCAACCCCAAATTCTACACTTTGTGATTTTGTTGTTGTTGTTGTTTTATAAAATTCAGGTGTGGATTCAATATATTGTATAGCTAGTATCCTAATTAACTGGTATTTTACATAAAGATAGTTCCTTAACTACCTTATGTCCATATTGTGTGGTCAGTCTATTTATACATTCAGTTCTCTGCTGAGATGCTGTAATTGCCCTATTCTAATTTTATGATGTGATTGGAAGTTTCTTGAACCTATAACCAAGACAAATATTGCTGGTAGTAGGAAGGGGAAAAGACATTCTTATAGACCATAATTATCTTGAAATTGTGTATAACTAAAAGACAAGCAGAGGATAAAAAGCCCTGATCAGCTGCCTAAGATATATTATATTACCACCCACCAATTTATCCATCATCCTTTGAAAACATATTCATCCCTTTTGTAGTCAAAGCTCCTTCAGGAAACTGGCATTAAGACGTAATGCTGAAAAATTATACACCTCTGGTAAAACCTACAGAACTATATACATGCTGGTTTTTAGAAAGTATTTTAAACATTTTAGAGCATTTCTATTCAATCTATATTCTTCAACAAAAGGCATCTTTTTACTATAAAGGTATAAGAACTGGGAATAATGTACAATATAAGAAATATGATGGTATACTTCTGTGATCGATCATAAAATAAAACTGATTGTATTAGTAAATGGAAAACTAATTTAATAATAAAATGACTGAAGGAAACATTATATCTTAACATTCCATTTTCAGTACCATACCTTATTAATTTTAGATTACAAATTATGAAAAGCTGTTATGTGCTCAAGCTTAAAGAGAAACTAATAAAATAGATGAGGGAGTGAGGGTGTATCTATTTCCTTCACTGTCTTTACTGGCTGTATTTTTTTTTAATAATTCAGCACTCTAAAGTTAATGCCAGCTATTTTGTAGTTGCATATAGTGTATGTGTTTGAGAATGGAACATACAAATTTGGGTATGTGGTTATATTTATTACAGAGGAAATCTTAACATAAACACTGTTATGCTTTTTGTAAGAAACAGCAGGCAAGGGGTTTGAATATTTCCTTGTAGCCAAAATTAGAACAGACTTGCATCTACTCCAAGACAGGCTGGGTACCAAACTGACTTCTGGAAGCCATAAAAACACCGTAACTATATAACAGCTTTGTTCTTTATACCCATTCTCATTGTTAGTGCCAAGGTATGGCTTCAGTCTTTAAAAAAAAAAAAAAAAAAAAAAAAAATCTGTATCTGTATTTCTGTATTTCTCACTTTTCCTACTTCACATTTGGCACTAAAATTCTAGAACTGCCTAAGCTGCCTATGCAAGAGTTTCTTTGCCTTTTTGCATGAGTAATTATTTTATCTAGACCTTGGGGGGGGGAACTGATTCTCACAAGTTATAATCCAATTTTTTTCTCATAAAATTTGCCAGTTATGAGCTCATCTTGACAATAAAGAGTACTCTCTGTTAAGTTGCTTTTACTGTGGGGCCTGTGCAAAGTTTGTCTCAAGAGGAAGACTTGCTGGTCATTATACGTGCTGGGAAACGGAAACCAGCATCCCCTGAAGCCCAACTATTGCCCTGGGGGATCCTGGCCAATGTTACCTCAATTACCATTGCACTGGAACCTGGAAGCCTGTGGTGGAAGAGTGGGAAGTCCAGAACTGCTTTCTAGAGCTGCATCTGTTCATCTCCTGTGGAAAAGCTGAAGAATCACTTTGTGCAATTACTGCATTTTTATGGAATTTCTGTTTTCAAGCTGGAATTTTATTACGGGATACTTCTGGACTCTGTTGAGATTACTTTTTGGAGTTTCTCTTACAAGAAAAGATGATAAAGAGCACGTGTCCAAGAAGAAAAAAAAACTTTCTTTGACATAGTCTATGAGCCTGCTGCTTATGGTGGGGATACTTTTTCTACCTCTGCTATAGAGGGTAGCCTTCTTGAAGGAAATGCATTCCCCAAAATTCTACCCCCAATCAAGTCCTTTGAGGCTCACCATACTAAGACATGAAATTATATTTACCTTGTACATCTGGTGTCATAGTACTTCCAAATTTAAAAATGAACAATGTGCAAACAGTTTGCTCTCTGGAGAGCTACACAGAATTTTCTCTTGAGTAGTAAAGCCCTTAGTGTGCCCATGTGTCAGATACACAGCTTCTCTGTGTTTGCTGGACGTATCCTGAACTCAAGTCAGTCAGGAGAAACCCCGCTGGTAGTCTAGCGAACCACAGCGAAAGGGAAAAATGCAGTGTCACTTGGTGAAGAAGCTGGAAGGTGCATATAGAGAAGTATAACGATTTATTAAAAACCAATAGGGACAAGATTTAAAAAACCCTCAGGAACAAGGTTTTTAAAATTTCCTACCAAGCTGAAAAGATCTGTAAAACAAAATTGAAATTATATTGTTAATATGGTATTTTGCTTGAGTATGTCATTTGGAAAAGACTGAAAAAATTCCACCTCCAACAAGCTGGTTATACTGAGCAGACCTGAAGAACAGAAACTGCACACTTACTTTTTTCCCACTGAAAAGATGAATGCAGAAACAATCTAGGAAAATGTACATCTGTTATTTCCAGGGTTATTTTAAAAAAATAAATAATGAACAACCCACTGAGTTTCAGTGTTGTATTACTGTGTGTGCAAACAACCTCTTGAAAGATAGCATAGCTGTCTACATGGACATTTTTATTCCAGCAAAGTACATTCAACCATGGTGCTTACATTTTTTCCTCATAGATATGACTCTAAAACATTGTTTTGTCAAAAAGAAGAATGCAAGCCTGGAAGAAATGATCAGGCTGATGACCAGGGCTTTCCAAGCTTCCAT